GTACAAAAAAAAACGGTGTCAGTAACGTAGTATGTATATTTGTAGATCATCAAATTAAATCAAAATATCTTTATTCATGTAGATATATTACAGACTCTTATGATATGTCAAATCTACCGTCAGTTCGGAATGATTTCGAGATGAGAAGAACTGGCGAGAAACTCAGCTCTTCTTTTCAAATGAACTTATAGGTACATGTTTACAAAAATACAAATTCAATTTTAATTTCAAATTTTATTAATCTATTGATGATAATCAAACGACAAGAATTACTAAAGCAGATTTATCTGTAGCTTTATGCTGAGTTGCCTATTCACCAAAATCCCTAAATATGGCACTAGATCATAAGTCAGGCTGAGTTGTAGGTGGCATATTGAAATTTTTAATAATTTTTACTAAAAACAAAAAAGAAAGAAAGAAAGAAAAATATTTTATTCAGTGCAATGTAAAAAATACAATATAAACAAGAAACGAAAAAAAAGCAAATAAAATGTACATATAATTAAACTTAATTTACCATAATTAAAAATAAACATAAAATGATCATTTTTTACATCCACTAAAAGAATGCCATAAGATTAAAAAAAAATGTTCCAAACAGATTTATTAGAGTTTATTTTTATTAAAAACAAAAAAGTAATAAATTAGGTTAAAAAAATCGTTCAAAGCAGAGGCGAGCATCTAGTTATTAAAGTTGTTCAACAAATACGAATAGAATAGAATAGAAAATCATTTATTCAAATAAACTTACACTGAAGCACTTTTGAATAGTCATTACATTTTTTTTTAATCTACCGCTCGTTCGGAAAGCTGTCTCATCACAAGAAGAACGAGCAAGAAACTTGCGTGTTGCTCTTTTAAATAATTTTATTATTACTTTACATTTTTAAGTTTAAGTGTGTGAATACAACGAACTCAGGAGGATCCGCTACGTTTCTATAAACAAGAAATTGCATAAAGTACCCGACACTATCAAATTGAAGTGTTTGCGTAAATAGTTATGTTTACAGATGTTATGTAAATTCGTTTCAGTTAGCGAAATAATTAACACTTATAAATCATTTTAAAAGCAATTCCCAACGGCTTGCTTAGCTCTAAATTGCGAAAGAGATGCGAATTATAATGGCAAATAAGCTGACAGTGCAACCGACGGTAAACGGTCGCCGTCGACTATATATAGGTGTCTCAGAAGTCCTTTGAAATGAAAAATAAAATAACAATAAAACTATGTACTCGTAAAAAAAAATAATGGCATCCATCCCATTATTATCCATAAGTTATTTGCCGTAGGCCATAGAGCAATCGACAAAATATCTATATATATAACCTTGAATACCAGGTTTTTTTTTATATATAAAACGATATTAATTTGATAGCTTCTAGCATTTTATGACATCTACCCATAGATATAATCTGTAATAATCGTTTTTATAATAGACAATTTTACGACAGAATTATTCATAGACAAAAATCTTTATAGATTTTTGTTTTTGTTATAGAAAAAAATAAATAATTTAATTTAGCCTTGATAACAATTATAAAGGCGTGGTATACTGGAAAGGTTGTGTATTAGGTTGCGACATACTTATAGGTATCTATTTTTTTATACAACTTTGCTGACAGTTCATACGGCCCATCTGATGGTAAACGGTTACCGTAGCCTATGGACGCCTGAAACACCAGGGGTATTACGTGCGCGTTGCCGACCCTTAAGACACCTTTATATACCCTTCTTGAAAACCCCATGCTGTAGTCTCTAGAGAAATCCCGGTAGGAAGTACATTTCACAATCTAAGTGTACGCGGGAGGAAGCTCCTCTGCAACCACTTTTTACTAATGTACCATATTAGGTTGATCTCCACGCAGTTCCCCCTGGAAACCATCATGATAAAATTCTGGTGAATTTATCATAATGGGCTGATTTGACCTCATGTTCGTCTTATCATCCTCCACTGGTGCCCCGCCAGCGTAAACCGTTAGCGCTGGCGGGTGCACCATTCCATTATCTTCAATAAAAAAAAACCGCTTTTTACTCCAGTGCACAGATAAAATATTATTCTCCAGAGTGACACAGACTATAAATCACGCTACAACGCGGGGCGGGCCAGTAGTTATGAAATAAAATGATTTAAATATATTAATCAGCACAGAAGATTCATTTCGGTGACCAAACCAAAATGTATAACTTGACATTATATTGTCATTTAATAATAACCATATATGTACGTAATATAATAATTATATTTACATATTAACAGGAATTTACATAAAAATATAGTTTTATGACCTCTAACCTCACCTTAACCTTTGGCGGACCTTTTGGTCAAATGTTGTTCTAAGATGTTTGCCCTACATACATACTACAAATTATTAAACGATTTACAAATATATTGCCGCCAAATGAGCGTGACGGTGGCGTAGAGTAAGCGTAGTAATGGCTGGTAGGTAGGAGCACAGATAACATATGTATTTTTTTCGGACTACTCTAATGCTGTTGGCCGCAGCTGGCCTTTACAGCTTAACCGGACGATAGGGGGTGAGTGCAGATGGCACTCCAAACCAAACCAAGGACTTATGGAGCGGCTGAAGACCAACTCCCGCCTGACGTATACGACTTTAGTCTGAGGGCACCTCTAGGGGTTCGAACCTCGGCTCAGGTCGTCGTAATATCGATCCCCGTTTGAATTGGACGGGTGATCGATCGGAGGGGAAATATGTATTACATGTTGTAGCAATTATATTATCTGTGGCAGTAGATACAATACTAGAGTCTACATACGTATAATTATAATCTGTTTTTTTTTTTAATCCCGGAGACAAATTTGACATTTCCGATGTTGCTAGGTCTTTGCATTTTTTAAATAGGGTTGTGACACTATCGGAAATTAATATTAATTACCCATTTTTATAAGTTATTCATAAATAATGTGAATAACTTAACGCATTAAATTAAAATTAATAAACTATAGATATTCATAAATATGTGGTAATTATAGTTTTATTTATAATCAACAATTGGCGAAGGTACATACGTATGAATGAAGTTTAGAAACTCAAATAGTTTTTAATACATAAGAAAAATAAAAAATAAACAACAAAAAAATACAATTAAAAAGTATTCTCAAGTAGGCACTACTTCTTAAATTAGGTTAAATCTACTTTAATAGTATTTCTGTTAGTTTTGTTTCCCGCCATAAGAGGCTTAAATCCAGGTTATTGCCCCCGGAGTTGATGCCGGGGCAAAGGGGTTCGCCCCGAAGCCTCAACTTTCACCCCCTAGGATGGTCACCAGTAGATGAACAGTGTCAAATATATAAATAATATGTTTAATATATATTTGTTACACTTTAGTCTAAATCTATTACTAAACAGTAGCACACTATCGATGTCAACTCACATTCGTGTAATGGCGCGTGACATTTTGGCGGGAACGCGTTACAAATGTCAAATCATGTAGATAAGTCACGCGTTGACAGCCACATTAAAAGGGACGGGCTCAGGTGTTGTTCTCATTCAGCTTTAGATGTATACTAATTTATTTTTAACCAACTTCGAAGAGGAGGACTTTAGAATATTTCGAATTTTTATCAAGTATATTTTTTAACTTAGTATTAATATATTTTTACCTTAATAATAATGGACAGATAGATAAATAAGACATATGAAAAGGTATATTATTCTATACTAATTTAGTTTTAATTTAAGTCGAAATACTTTAGTTTTCATTTCATATATAAGACCTTTTTTGTAAATACACAAAATTTACATAGAAATATCATCATCTGCTTCTTCTTTATCCCATTTATTTCGGAATAATATGTTATTCCCTTCCATTCAGCCCTGTTTGTAATCATCTCATTATTTACTCCCTATCTTATCATAACATCTTTCACTAAATAGAAATATCTATTAATTAATTAAAGTATCTAAATATTCGTAAATTTGGCCGGGGATCGAACCAACAACAATTGGAACGTAAGGCAGTATGCTAGATTACTAAATGTAAGAATATTATTTTCAATGTTTGCAACCCTAGCTTAAAATGCCAGTACATTCTCAGTGACATTTGAGCTTCCGTTACACTAAATATCAGAGACTAGATTAGGTGCAGTAGATAAGTCTAGATACATTCCATTTAGTACTAAAACCTAGATATCTAAAGTTGTTACCAAAAATATATAGACGAAACCATAGACTTTATAAACTATCTCTCTCAATATTCATAATATTAATACTAGATTTAAAGACAAACTTGCTGTCCCCAAGTATCGTTTAGAAAATAATAGTTAATAGGTCTTTTATGGGAATAGGTATAAAAATTTACAATAAGATACCAAAGGATATGTTGGAATTACCCTTAAATAAATTCAAAACATCTGTTAAATCATATTTACTGAGCAAAGCCTATTACTCACTAAACGATTACTTGAATGACGAGTGTGCATGGCAATAGTTGTTCATGCACTGAATTTTCATTTAATGTTAGACATAGACACCTATATAAATATACATTGTAAATAAACTGGCTTTAAAAAAAAAAAGTAATTCAATTGAGTTTCTTGCCAGTTCTTCTCAATTGGATCTATATACCGAACTGGACGGTAGGGAAAAAAATAAAATTATAATGTAAAAATTTGACGGTCATAAGCGGCTAAAATGTTCTACATGAATAAATGATTTTTGAATTTTGAATTTTGAATTTTATGGATTTAACATAATAATATTATATACAAATGTTAACACACAGTTAAGTCCCATTTTTTTTTGTCCCAATCTAATGCTGTTGGCCGCAGCTGGCATTTATAGCTTCACCGGACGATTGCGAGTGCAGATGGCACTCCAAACCAAAGGAAGGACTTATGGAGCGGCTGAAGAACAACTCCCGCCTGACGGATATGACTTTAGCCTGACGGAACTGCTAGGGATTCGAACCTCGGCTCAGGCCGTCGTAATTTCGATCCCCGTTTGAATTGGACGGGGATCGATCGAAAGGGGACAAAATGTGTGCTGGGACACATCGTAGAAGTGAAACGGTAATGATGATATGTTTAATCATCTGCCAAGTTCCAAGTTTCAGGAGCTTGGGCCCATACCCCCCCCCCCCCCAAAAGGGGGGAGGGGATAGCAATGGGAACTAGTAACTCCCATTGCTAACAATGTACCATGTTAAGTCGACCTCCACGTGGTTCCCCCTGGAAATCATCGTGATGGCTTTTTGGTGAATTTTTCACGATGGGCTAACTGATCTGACCTCATGCACATCTTGTCAGCCTCCACTGGTGCCCCGTCAGCGTAAAGCGTTAGCGCAGGCGGGTGCACCATTCCATTATCTAACACGAACCTTAGACCCGGAGGTGACTGCCTATGTTTAATTATGTATATGGTTCAACCCGGACGAAGTCGGAACAGGTCGTTAGTATAATATAATAATAAATACTAAAATCAGGTTTTTTATTACATTCGTAGTTATAAAACTAGATCATTATGTTTGTTAAACATAAATAGTCCATTATTGTAATTATAGAATTGTAGATTTAAGACCTTCGTGTATTGAACCTATATGGTCACTTTATAAATCTACTACGACGCCAAAGATTTTGAGTACAAAGTTTATAGTTTCAAATTAACAGCTTTTCACTAAATATTTATGACTATCTGTTCCCGCGACTTCGTCCGCGTGGAATTTAACTTTATTTTTCTAAAATAAAACATTTTTTCTAAAGTAAAAGTAGCCTAAGTTACTCAGAATTACATCAGATACCTGCCAAAAAAAGTCCCGTCAAATTTCAGAGATTAGTCGAAACAAACAGACAGACAGACAGACAAAAATTGTAAAAAATGTTATTTTGGTGTATGTGCCGTATTTATATTCATATGCATGTAATAAAAACCGTTATTTCAATATTACAAACAGACACTCCAATTTTATTTATATGTATAGACATATACGATACTATACTCGCAACATTAATATGAAAGTATATATGATACCTACGGCAAAAGATTAATTTAAATTTTTTATCTGTCTATCTGTTTGTTCTGAAACTGCTAGTCCAATTTTGACGGAACTTTCACTCTACTACACTTCAACTAATGTTATAAAAATGACTTCTTTTAGAAATATTATTTATATTAATAAAAAAAAAAATATTCTACATGAAGTCGTAGGTAACATATAGTTCATAATAAAAATACGCCATCCGACTTTGTAAACAAAATCATAAATTAATAAAACATTTGAATCAAAGAACCTACATTTATCATTTTGTTTCAAAATTAATATAATATTTTGCTAAATGGACTTCCCAATTAACAACTTTATTTTGATCGTACCACTTACGTAATCGCCATTAAAACTTTTATTATCTGTGACTCTGTGACATTTCGCGCGCTTTTTCATTAATCTATCAATACGTCAGTCAATTATTAATGTTTTTTTCTTTTATTGAATCCGAGGTGACGACAAAGATTACATACGGTTTTATATATAAGCCTAAATGAGTGATTACAAAATAGACGTAGGCCTACTAAATAATGAGTGTATTACATTTTTATGATTGATAGCATCTGCAACATAATGTTACGGTGATTGTTAGTAATGTGGATTGATTATCCCATTGCTAGTATTGTAATATCTCAGTTAGCCTATGACAAATCATCAAGTATTTATCTAGGGAGAACCATGTGGAGGTCAAGCTGATACGGTGCATTGTTAGGCTAGTAATTTATCATGTTAGGGAGAAAGGCGATTATGTATTGTCGGATTGACCTTCACGATGGAGTTACAGACCTGACCTCATAATCATCTTATCATCCTCCACTGGTACCTCGCCACCGTAAACCGTTAGCATCAGCGTGTGCACCATTTCATTATCATCCATTAAAAAACTAAACTCGGCGCCATTCAGTGTATACACAAAATAAATTAAGGATAATGTTGGTGATGGTTTCCAGGAGGACCGCGTGGAGGTCAACCCGATATGGTACATTACTAGCAATGGGACCACTGTTCCTTTTAACTAATCTCCTTCTACGATTACAATAATAGCAGTATTAATTTTGACCTTAGCCTCACCCACTTTTGTTTTAACAGCATTATGAAATTGTATTATAATATCATTAGAATTGTAAAAAAAAAACGTTTTGCGTAACTTTTATTACTGTTACAAATATCGTGACATTAGAAGTGAGTGGGCGGTGTTTCAACATTAAAACTTATTTTTAAGCTTATGTTTATACGAAAAATAATGGAAATCACGGTATCTTACCATGAAGGACATAAGCTACTTTTTAATGTGAAAAAGAGTACCTACTTGTTGAAAATCGAATTTGTGCGGTCTTTCATAAGAACATAGATAAATGAATAAAGCGATATTACATACTCTGTTTTCAACAAATATTTTTATTATAATAATTTTGACATTTCTTTTTATTTTTCCATACAAATTAAAGTACCTGTCAATCTGCAACAGTACTGTCATTTTTAAAGCTAGAAGCTTGGAAATTATTTTTATCCTATTTATTGAATATAAATAAAGAAAAAGGGTTGTATGGGGTTGAAACGGGAGTATGGAATGAATGATAAAGGGTTGTATGAAAGTAGCGTCATTTTTAAAGCTAGAAGTTTGAAACTTATTTTTAAGCTGTTAATTAAATATAAATAAATATGACATTAAAATTTCTAACAATGTTACCCTTAAGGAGATAAAATAAAGGGGATAGGGGATGGAAGTTTGTATGGAAAATCGTCATTTATGAAGCTAGAACTATGAAACTTTTTGCTTTAGTTTTTTGGGCTTAGATTATTTAATATTTTTTCTTTAATTTGTCTAGGTTATTATAACACGCGGACGAAGTTGCGGGCACAGCTAGTATTACATAATCGATACTTAAAGTTCATTTAATAGATCGTTGTTTTTTTTTATTTTGTCAGACAAAGGTCACGTTAACAGCAGGCTATAATTATACTTTTATTATATTTTTTTCTTATTTACGTTAAACAACTTGACACGTTTTTTATAGTTGCACTAGCTGTGCGACTTTGTCCGCGTGGAATACGCGACGAATGATGAATTTACAAACTTTCATCCCCTATTTTATTTTACCTTCTTAACGGTAAATTTTTAACAAACTTTAAAACGAATTATAACGATAATTCCATACAACCTTTTATCTTCAACCCTTTACATGGGTTGTAAAGGGTTGAAGATAAAAGGTTGTTTTCTAGATTATCGAGATTATCTATGCACCAAATTTCATTTAAATCGCTTCAGCAAGTTTGGGTTCTTTTTTTTTTGTTTCAATGGCAACTAAATATATTATCCCTAGAAAGTTGCGACGACTTTTGCGCATTCTGTCGCATTTTTTAGATCTTCCTTTGTGCAGTATAGTGAGCACAAAGGACAGGTCAATATATGGGCTATAGTTTTGGCGTAAAAGCGCCACAAACAGAGTTACTATCGCATTTATAATGTTAGTAAGGAAGTAAGGATTTTAATTATAATAATCTTTGACAATTCATACAGCGCCATCTAGACCCAAGCTAAAATGAGCTTGTATTATGGCCATACATAATAAGTAATAGATATACTCTTTTTTTACTATGACGTTGGAAAACAGGCATACGGCCTATCTGACCGTAGCCTATAGACGCCTGAAACACTGGGGGTGTCACGTGTGCGTTGCCGACCCTTAAAACACCTTAATATACCCTTATACTCTCTTGAACAACCCTATGCTGTATTTTTAATACTTAAATATGTACATAATTTATATATAAAACACCCAGACTAATACAAACATACTCATAAAAAGAAATGATGTGCTAAACGCTAGTCCACCGAGGCCGCCAGTCAATGTCCTTCATTATCAGCGTCAAAATTATATCTAGTGGATTTTTTATACTTACAGGTGATGATGGTGATGGTGATGACTGTCCGCTGTCAGGAACAGGAATCCATCGTGAGGAATGACTTCGAGGGTCCCAATCCTGACGGCTCGTATAAGTGGGCTCTGCAGACTGGTGAGACTTTATATTTACTTACGTGGCCGTATGGTAAACAGTAACCGTTGTCTATATATATGAACTGGGGATGAAAGTTCTGTCAAAATCAGTCCAATCATTTCAGAGGTCAGCAAGAACGAACAGATAGACAAATATTATTTTTTATCTTAAGTACCGTATGTATATAATACTTTCATATTAATATAGTGAAAAGCCGTTAATTTGTAATTTCAAACAGACACTTCAATTTTATATGCTAGAAATATTAAAGGTATTTAATAAATAAATTTAAAACATCAGTTAAATCATATTCACTAAGCAAAGCTTATTACTCACTAAATGATCACTTAACTCATAAGACATAAACTCTATGTAAGTAAAAATGTAAATAAGCTTTAAAAAAAAAGAAATTCAGTTGAGTTCGGATTTTTAGGACAATTCGCACAGCGCCATCTAGACCCAAGTTGAGCTAGCTAAAGCTTGTGTTACGGGTACTAGATAACTGATACAAATACATTTTGTATATATATTTTTTTGTAAATACAGTGGACCCGCGGTAATCCGGCCCCCCTTGTAATCCGACATTGTCTATTATTTGTTATTGAATATTACTTTGACAATATACTTCAGAGTGCATATACATACATACATATATAACATAGAATCTTATCACTGGATCTGTAATTTGTCGAATTACAAGATACTCTTTTTTAAAAAATTCCGGACTATAAGCAGAGGACCCTTAAGCAGCACTCTATAATCCGACAAATACGATGGTCCGACACTGCCCTGCAAAACGTTTGTCGGAAAACCGGGGGTCCACTGTATATGTATATAATATAAAGAATCATCACTGGATCTATAATTTGTCGGATTACAAGGTACTCTTTTGTAAAAAAATTCGGACTATAAGAGGTCTTAGGCAGTACTCTATAATCCGAAAAATTCGATAGTCCGACACTGCACTGCAAAATGATTGTCGGACTACCGGGGTCCACTGTACATACATATTATACATAGCAAACAACCAGACCAATACAAACAATCATACTCATGAAACTTGACGATCACAAGCGACTAAAATAAATTTTTTTTTAGATCAACAATCTTTGAAAAACATTACGATCCGACCTGATACTCACTTCCACCCCCCACCGCACCCCCTCACTTCTGCCTTTCTCCACTAGGTCAAAAGTTAAAAGCAGGGAATTGCTAAGTGTTGGATTATTAAAACAACATATGCTTTTATTATATTTGGACTGTATTTTTTATATTTGATTTACAGGAGTACAGTGTGTATGGCTTGATCGTTAGAAACAGAAAGGGGGGAGTGACAGTTTGAATGAATCTTTTTTAAATTGTTAATTGTTGCCATTACAAAACGAAAATATATACTACAAAATATTTATATTTATTTTAGGTTCAAATTGTCTTGAACACTAAGAATGAACTACGTCTCCGTACCCAATTTACTGCAATATCCTAATTATTCGAACACTCACGTTTTACCTTTTTCTTTTATTCACCAGAGGGCGGGATATATCACGAGCAACGTGGCTCGGTGCAGGGCGGTGGAGAGTCGGGTCTGCTGGTGGAAGGCCAGTACCAATACACAGCTCCTGATGGCCAGGTAAGGTATCTCTAATTTATTTTCCTTACACGTGCAAAAATCTTGACAAGTCTCCCACCGGAGACCAAACTGTAGGGAAAAAAATTTACTCTCGTAAGCGGCTAAAAGTCCTATACGAATAAATGATTTTTCATTTTGATTTTGTTTTTTGAGGGAAATGGCGGTCCCTGAGATTTAGAGAGAATACTTTCATATACATAAAGTAAAAAGCACAGATACTTAAATTTTATATGTTTGGATAGATGTTTTTTTTTGTTAAGGGATGATAATGGAATGGTGCGGGGAGAGGGGATTGTTAGTGATGTGGACTAATGACCCCATTACTAGCAATGCACCATGTCAGGTTGACCACCACGCGGTTCCCCCTGGAAACCATCGTGATAAATTCTTGGTGAATTTGTCACGAAGGGCTAACTAACCTGACCTCATGCTCATCTTATCATCCTCCACTGGTGCCCTGCCAGCGTAAACCGTTAGCGCAGGCGGGTGCTCAATTCCATTATCATCCACAAAAAAACCCTGGACAATTGGGGGGAAAGGGAATCGTTACTGTTATGAAAACAGCTAACGTATAATTTTAAATGCAGCTGTCTTTAGTGGACTGTATTTACGACAATAGGATTTGAGCAAGAAATTGATAATTTGGAAGGCACTCACCTTGTACTGCGAGGATTGCTGGTTCGGTTTCAGCAAGGCTTCCCAGAACTCCGGGCTTGTCCGAACTTACCTTTTGAACGGGTTACCTGTTTACCGCCAAAACCGACAATAGGTGCTTTCCAATATCAACTCTTGCGTTCCTTTATTATTTCGTACTTAAACTAATAATATTCACGAATTTAGTTAACAAATCTATATAAAATATCGACAATTACGACAGCGATAACACTTTTTCGACAACGACAAAGGCGAAACGACTCCTACCCTCGTAATCTCTTTTTATTTTTTTACTTTTTTTATTATTTACGGCATTGGATATCGCGATAATGTTGCCATGCGTATTATTGTGAATAGTGAACAGTTACTATGATTATTGTATCCATTTTGATAAAGGTTTCGAGGACGAAAGCGTATATAAAAAAAATGCGTTCTTGCTCACACGTACAGGTAGTGTCACCTGTTTTTGTCTCTTTCTGCATATCCATATTATTGTATCATATAGCAAGTACATAAGCTCTAGCTACTCCGATCGCTGGTTATAAGTGCTCCCGAATTTTTATTTATTAGTCAGTTTCAGTGATTAATAAATAAAAACCAGCAAATATCAAACTGAATCGGCAAAAATATATTATTTTTTATTTACAGGTAATAAATGTGCTGTACAAAGCTGACGAGAACGGTTTCCAGGCTCAAGGAGATCACCTCCCTACTCCACCGCCTATACCGCCAGCGATACAGCGAGCTCTCGACTACATAGCTTCGTTAACGCCATCTATCGCCGGCACATATAAATAACATCAAAATTATATCTATACATCTATACATATAAATAAAATTGGAGTATCTGTTTGTAATATTGAAATAACAGTTTTTTACTACATGCTTATGAATATAAATACGGTACATACACCAAAATAACATTTTGTACAATTTTTGTCTATCTGTTTGTACCGGCTAATCTTTGCAATGGCTGGACCGATTTTGACGGGACCTTTTTTGGCAGGTAACTGATGTAATAAGGAGTAATTTGGCTAGTTTTATTTCAGAAACTTAAAGTTAAATTCCACGCGGACGAAGTCGCGGGAACAGCTAGTCTATAATAATTATAACTATAGATTGTTATGTACAAAATACGTAATTACACAGACATTTGTATTGATCATTGACTGAAAGAAAGAAGAAGAAAAAAGAAAGAAAATTATTTTATTCAGTGCAATGTAAAAAATACAATTATAACTAGACAACAATTATAATGCCTATAACCAACAATCTTTCTCTACACAACCTATGGTTGCCTGGTAGTAAATACCGTGCAGCGTTATGTCCGCCATATGTATTTTTACCTTATAATTTTGTGCAATAAATTATATAAATAAATAATAATGATAAGGGGGCATTCATAAATTACGTAATACCCAGGGGAAAGGGTTGATAAAGTGTGGTGGTCACAAAGTTATATGTATAGTTATGTTCATTACGGCGCCACCCAGTGGCGTAGTTAGGTCACCAAGGAACCCGCAAATCAAAAAATGGGGCCGCAGCAGTGGGGCCCTACATTACAGTTTTATTAAAACGCACATATCGCTATCCGTCAAATTGGCAACACTGCCAACCGAAAGAATTTAGGGGAATTCCGAAGGTATAACTTTCGAATTTCTCTCAACTGAGTTGCCATGATTAAAGTCGGGTTGCAACCTATCATATTTATTTTGAAAATGGGAGAAATTTTATAAAGTTCAGTTCGTTCGAGGTTTTCTGGTAAAGGTTCAAGGGCCCCGAGGCACTCTCCCGCCTAGCCCCTAGGTATCTACGCAACTAGCACCACCTACCCTTAAGTGTGACATTGTACGGTGGCCACAAAATTATATGTATAATTCAGTACGATTCTTTATCTATATATGTTTTTTATATTTAAAAAAAATTGTCTATCAGTTGTCTAGTACCCATAACACAAGCTATGCTTATCATCGGACTAGATGGCGCTGTATGAAGTGTCCAGGTTTATTATTATACATACATAGTACAAAATAGATGTAAGTTTACTAATATATATCAATAAAGTTATATTGAAATTAATTTTCTTTTTATTAATATTATGATTTCTAACCCGCTTAGGTTTCGGACAAATGTACAGTTTTAATTCGAAGAAAATCAAAATAGATATAAACTCAGTTACTTGTAGTGTGTTTTTATCGACTACTCTAATGCTGTTAGCCGCAGCTGGCCTTTACAGATTCACCGGACGATACGGCGAGTACAGATGGCACTTCAAACCAAAGGAAGGACTTATGGAGCGTCTGGATGTCTAAATGGGAGGTCTATTGAGGGTCAGTGCATATATCCTTTTTCAGAGTCTAGACCATTTGTGAAACAAATTTCACTTAAATCGATACAGTAGTTTTGATGTGAAAGCGAGACAGAGTTACTTTCGCATTTATTAATGAGAATTAATATTGTTGATCATTCTGCCTACACTTGTAATATTTCTGTCAACACTCGACAGAATGAGAGAGCCATTAGTACCTCTCCAGATAACATAGATTTAAGATAAAAGTAAGTCCACGTTATAACTCCGCGTCAAATGACTACTAAATAAACTTACTGACGTACAATAAATAGTACAATTATTGTACCTGTATACTCGTCTACCTACATACTACAGTATACAATATATTAGGTAGCGACACCTCATCACATCATATATAACGCTACAGTGGTGAGGCGATAATCACGAAATAAATTTAAATCTCAAAAAATGTGTATTAACATTTTTTGAGAAACTTGTCTTTTAAACATTTAATTGACTCATCAGATTTCTATCTCAATGATTCAAAATCGATATTTTTTCTGAATAAATCGTTATCCCTAGTATACATGGCACGTTTATTTCTGTTATGTGACGTACAGTACACTATTTCGCTGTTTCAAATTTGAAGATTACTAGAAAGTCAATTTTTTCTAAGAAATTGTAACTTCAAACAAGGCAAAAAGTTAAGGTTGGTAACCCTTATTTTGCTTGTATCCATGGTCATGAAAAAAATAAAAACAATGTATGAATATTTAATTATTGTTTACTATCATTCAATTTTGTTTTCTATTTTGAAGCGTTAGTATTTTAAGTTTAAATAAATACCACAATGGGTTTCACTTTGGGCTATGAAAAGTAAGTTAAAACTATTTAAAACTTATTTATACTTTATGTACTTATTTGTACCTATAGGGAAAGAGTTTGCAAGTAGGTTAACCGGTAAAACATTCTTTTTTCGTTCTATTCTAATGATGCTAGCCGTAACTGCCTTTACAGCTTCAACGAATGAAAAAAGCAGCCGAGTGCAGAGGCACTCGAAACCCAGAAAAGTGCTTATACAGAATTATAGATCCGCTGAAGCGACTTTAGTTTGAATCTCTTTAGTTTATGTTCCTTGGTCTGAATACACCGCTAGGAGTTCTAACTTCGGCTCAGGTCGTCGTAATTTCGATCCCCGTCTGAATGGATGCTAAATAACTTTTTACATACATAATAGACATAGAAAACACACAGACTGATAAACATACTTTTAGGACTCTCCCCTGCTTCGGCGTTGGATATTTCTGCATATGGAGAAATAAACATGTGTCAGAGGTGCGGATGGATTACCATGGTCAATGTCACTATTGTATATTAAGTGTTGCGTCCATTTGTTACGTTATATTTATTTTTTGCCCCTACTAACATTACATTTAAGAAATTGTAACTGAATCTATGGATAAAAATCTGAATTAAATATATATTACTAGCTGAACCTGCAAACGTTGTTTTGCCGTATAAATTAAAATTGCTATTAAAAAATAGGGGTAATATGAAGTATAGTAGTGAATGGTAATAGAAGGGAGAAAATTTGGGTTGTATGTATTATTATTGAAAGAAAATTTAAAAAATATGACACAACAATTTTGACTAAATAATAATTTTAGGGATTGACAACCCTTATCGGTATGAAAAATAAATAATAGCCGATTCTCAGACCTACTGAATATGCATATAAAATTTCATAAAAATCGATAATGGCATTTCAGAGGAATATGGTAACTAACATTGTGACATAAGAATTTTATATATGATTATTATTATTATTTCTTAATATTTATTTCAGAAATAGAAATTAAGCACCTTCATCTATTAGATGCAACTTATTAAGTCAAGTATAATAATAAGCAAAGAAAATGTCAAATCTAAATTCAGTGAGACGAGATGGAAATTCAAATGAAGAGATGGTATGTGACATATTTAAAATAATCTATACATTCTTTACTACCCTGATTTAATATCAATGTTTTCATGCTTATTTCAGGCAACACAAACATTGAATGCACTACAAATGCCGACTGAAGAATCATCTAGTGTAATTCTAGAAGTAGATGATGTAACAAGTCGTCTTGTTAAATGCTATTCTTCCAGTGAAGGCTACAGTGATTTCTATGAAGATGAGGAGGACTTTGGTCCAGGATACATGACATTGTGTGAAGCTGCTAATATGGTCCGTTTAGAGATACTGGATGAAGATGATGAGTCTGATGATGAAGCAACCAAAGTTAGTGGATTGGATGAAAACAATGATGATAAACTTTCAAAAGTATATTCTTGGACTGATGATTTTAATACATTCTCTTCTAAGAAAAAGACATACATGCGATCTCCAGGGCCTACAATATATTCACAGGATCCTACTGAACTCTTCACATTTATATGGGATGAAGCTATTGTAATGTTGATTGTGGAAGAAACAAATATGTATGCCTGGCAATCTATTGATACATATGCAGAGATAGGAAAAGTTCCAATATATTTGCAAACGTGGGTAGACACAACAATTGATGAAATGTACAGATTCCTCGCCATTCTGTCGTTAATGGGAATACTATACAGGCCAGATATTAAAGAATATTGGTGCACTAAAGGTTTTGGGATGCCATACATACAATCTATAATGTCATTGGATAGATTCCGCCAAATGCTTAAATGTATCCACTTCACAGACAATTATATGCTGTCTCCAAATTTACAAAGCAATTCCCTCAAAGTGGCGAAAATTGAGCCAATCCTACAACATTGTAATGATAGATTTGCAGCGCTGTATGTACCTAGGAGGGTATTGAAGCTAGAAGAGTCCTTACTATCTTGGAATGGTAGGATAAAATATGACCCAGAAGTATGTATAAAATGTTTAGAACTGCGAGAAGCAAAGACTGGGTATCTAATTAGATACAAATTCCAGTCATTTGAACCTATAAATGTACCTCATGGTTTTGGGGATGAAACTGCTAATGTGGTTGAACTCATGGATGGTTATTTAGATGTGGGACATTTGTTACTTGTAGACAACTGGTACAGGCAATTATCTCTGATGAGATATTTAAAAACAAGGTCTACAGATGTGGTAGGGTCAATCAAAAGGTGTCGTAAAGAACTTCCTGTGGAAGTAAGAAAAGCTAATAAAGGTATCATTCGGGCGTCTCCAGGACAACATATCAGCAGACATTCTGGGGACATATCTGTAACTACTTCTTATAACTATGGTCTGCTAACTTTGGCATCCACATACCATAAAAACGATTTCAAACGCGGACAACCAGCAGTCGTGAAGACTTACAAGAAATACACCTTAGATACAGAAACAGAAGACCAAATATTATCAACTAATTTGTTTGCAAAGAAGAGGTCCCAGAAATGGTACTTTAGAGCATTCAGAAGTTTAATTCATACGAGTATTTTGAATGGATATATTATTTATAGTCACAATCCGATTTCGAAGCGATACCTGTCTCAAACGGATTACTTCCTTGGAGTTTGTAAGGGTTTGTTGTCGAAATATCCCAAACCTAGTGCACCATCTCCTGTTCCCTCGTCAGTGAGATTAAACCAATACAACCATAGCCCAAAATTATCTAAGCATAAATCTAAAGAACTAAAATGCAGAAGGTATTAAGTATTTTTGTACATTGGTGAACGCTATAAAGACCATCATACAGTTAAATAACTTTGATCTCTGTTTTATGACAATTGAAATCTAATTTTCTTTGTCAAGATTGTGTTAATTACGTCATTATAAAAATGATTGAACAATTCTATTTTTTATTTTCCTCTATTGATATTTTTTATGTTACGATTGCGATTGAAAGGTGTCTTCATGCTGGCGGTGCATTAAGGGGTTATTAGACGTGAACTCAGGTCAACAGCGATGTAGTAGCTTTTTTTGCAGATAATGTTATTCATAATAAATTTGTACCATTTGTTCCATTTTACACACATCAAACACAGTATCGAACATCTGAACATGTACTCTTAAAAGCGTCATTTTTACTGTCGTAATTAGAATTTTTTTTAATAAACTTTGATTGGAATATATTCAATTCAAATAGTTATAATTAAATGTATTGTATCTGTTTACTTATTATTACTTACTACATAATAAAAATATTGCGTAACCAAAACATTTTTCCTGGCATTTCGTCCGGTGCCTGTGTTTCGCATACTTCGAATTAGTCTGCTAGTAGTCTTTCCTTTGAGTTTATAATAACAACCCTCTAACGAAAGTATAATCAGTCATCCGTAAATATTTGTGAGAATGATTCTATTATACAAACGTAATGATTATTTTCTCAGTGGTTCTAGTATACAATACTTGATAATGTAATAACCAAAATTTGTATGCATGACTGCGTGATTGACATTAACTAAGGTTATCCTTCAGTTCAGTACTCTGTGTCCGCGATAGCTTTACTTTGGGTCTGTAATTCTGTATTTGATATTCGATTTGTTTCATTTTTTATTTTATTTATTACAAATTCTCTTTACGAAGTGTATTAATTTAATACTTTCAATGAGTTTTGACCGAATGATGTTGAATATTAAGCGTCGATAAGCACAACTATTTAATTTCTTTTGTAACTAGAAAATATTATATTCCGAAATAAATACAAATTAACACCTTATAATGGGTAAATGTATTGTGAAACAATGTAATTCTCGTACTCAAGTGGATAAAGCAAGCGACGGGATCAGTTTTCACACGTGAGTGTTGTATCTAAATCACTAAAATGAAAAAAAAAAATTAAATTATTGTGTTCGAAATTTGAATTTAATTTTTATATTTTTTTTAACTTATTTTATATACAACTTTAAATGGCGTAATCACGGCCTGTTCATCTGATGTAAAGATGAAATCTTCGTCAATGAACAGCACAGATTAAGGGAAGAGGGGATTGTTAGTAATGGGGACTGAGAACTGCACTGATAGCTATATACCATGTCAGGTTGACACCACCTGAAAATAATCAGGCGTAGTTTCATAGTGAATTCACAGGAGACAGGACAATCATACTCATGAATACAAAATGTTTGTGCTATATGAGGAATCAAACCCCCGACCATCAGATGTATAGTGGTGTGCTGGACCGCTAGACCACTGAGGTGTATACATTATCAATTACTATACCACATCTGCTCATAGTCTTTGACTTTGATTGCAAGATGATAACAGAAAAATAAAACTACTAACCTGGAAATAGTAACATGTATCTCAGCTTATTAAAAATAGCAACAAATCTTCTAGAATCCCCAAGGATCCTGTACGTCGTGAGAAATGGGTCGAAGTTATAAGAGTACTACGAAAGGATCCTAAATGGAATGCAACCAACACCACAGTCATATGCTCAAAGCACTTCAGGAATGAAGACAGAATTCTTTCAAAATTGGAGAAGGGTCGTATTTACTTGTTAGATGATGCGGTTCCTCTGCTTGATGTGAGTATGAGCTTTTTTTCTTTACTCATGTAGATCAGGGGTGAGCAACCTTATTCATCAATGGGCCAATGTAAAGAGTGATGCCAAAGTCCAAATGAGAGTTTTAGGACTAAGTTGAAACTCCGTTCTGCCCCTGAATTAAGTAATATGTAATTTTTTTAAGTTTATTTATGCAATAGATTACTGAATGAACCCTGTTGTATGGGAAAATAAAATTGTTATTTTTATTATTTTCTATGCAATTTATTCGTATTTTGTCACCTTTTAAACCTTCCCTGTACTTCCACGAATATTTTAAGACTAAAATTAGCAAAATTGGTTCAGATTTCTCGAGTTTTAGCGAGACTAATGAACAGCATTTCATTTTTGTATATATAGTATAGTAGATATTATAAATACTGTTATGTATTGATTATGTTAATAGAAGGTCAATTTATAATTATGTATATTGAGGGTAAATGACTCCTGTGAACTTGGCACACGATATTAAAAAATCGACTTTTTTTTTTAGAGTTCTGACATCCTTTTGAATAGTTCTAGAGTTCTTTATAATCATTTTAAATAGTTCCGATGTTTAAATTAAAAAAAAACAAATTTTAAAAAATCGTGCGCTAAGTTCACGCAGCGCACGAAATCACGAAAATCACAAATTTTTTTCGGAGTTCTAGCTTGCTTTACAATAGTTCTACAGTTCTCTATCAGTTATATCAATAGTTCTAGCGATTAAAACGAAAAAATCGATTTTTGAAGTTTCGCCGCGTCCAAATTATAATTCATATAAGATAAGATCAATTTCCGACGCGAGTTCTAGCCGATCTGATAATAGTTCTGGGCAGCATTCTCCGAGTTCTACAGAAAAGCTTCGTAACTTTTTCCTGGAAAATAATTATTTTGCAAGTTATTGCAAAAAATATAAATCCACAAAAAAAAAAATTACGAGTTCCAGCTGATCTGACCGGAGTTCTGGGTAGCGCTATCTGAGTTCTATCGAAAAGTCTAGTAACATTTTCCTGTGAAATAATTATTTTCCAAATTATCGCCATTTTTAACTTTTCATGACTGACTTATAGGAGAATTTTTTTACGAGTTCTAGTCGATCTCATCGGAGTTCTGGGTAGCGCTACCTGAGTTCTATCGAAAAGTCTAGTAACTTTTTCCTGTAAAATCATTATTTTCCAAATTATCGCCATATTTAACTTTTTAAGGCTGACTTATAGATTTTTTTTTACGAGCTCTAGCTGATCTGATCGGAGTTCTGGGTAGCGCTACCTGAGTTCTATCGAAAAGTCTAGTAACTTTTTCCTGTAAAATCATTATTTTCCAAATTATCGCCATATTTCACTTTTTAAGGCTGACTTATAGGAGATTTTTTTTTTACGAGTTCTAGCTGATCTGATCGGAGTTCTGGGTAGCGCTACCTGAGTTCTATCGAAAAGTCTAGTAACTTTTTCCTGTGAAATAATTATTTTCCATATTATCGTCATTTTTAACTTTTCAAGGCTGACTTATAGACTTTTTTTTTACGAGTTCTAGCCGATCTGATCGGAGTTCTGGGTAGCGCTACCTGAGTTCTATCGAAAAGTCTAGTAACTTTTTCCTGTGAAATAATTATTTTCCAAATTATCGCCATTTTTTACTTTTCAAGACTGACTTGTAGGAGAATTTTTTTTTTGACGAGTTCTAGCCGATCTGTTCGGAGTTCTGGGTAGCGCTACCTGAGTTCTATCGAAAAGTCTAGTAACTTTTTTCTGTAAAATAATTATTTTCCAAATTATCGCCATTTATTACTTTTCAAGACTGACTTGTAGGAGAATTTTTCTTTTGACGAGTTCTAGCCGATCTGATCGGAGTTCTGGGTAGCGCTACCTGAGTTCTATCGAAAAGTCTAGTAACTTTTTCCTGTGAAATAATTATTTTCCAAATTATCGCCATTTTTTACTTTTCAAGACTGACTTGTTGGAGAATTTTTTTTTTTGACGAGTTCTAGCTGATCTGATCGGAGTTCTGGGTAGCGCTACCTGAGTTCTATCGAAAAGTCTAGTAACTTTTTTCTGTAAAATAATTATTTTCCAAATTATCGCCATTTATTACTTTTCAAGACTGACTTGTAGGAGAATTTTTCTTTTGACGAGTTCTAGCCGATCTGATCGGAGTTCTGGGTAGCGCTACCTGAGTTCTATCGAAAAGTCTAGTAACTTTTTCCTGTGAAATAATTATTTTCCAAATTATCGCCATTTTTTACTTTTCAAGACTGACTTGTTGGAGAATTTTTTTTTTTGACGAGTTCTAACTGATCTGATCGGAGTTCTGGGTAGCGCTACCTGAGTTCTATCGAAAAGTCTAGTAACTTTTTTCTGTAAAATAATTATTTTCCAAATTATCGCCATTTATTACTTTTCAAGACTGACTTGTAGGAGAATTTTTCTTTTGACGAGTTCTAGCCGATCTGATCGGAGTTCTGGGTAGCGCTACCTGAGTTCTATCGAAAAGTCTAGTAACTTTTTCCTGTGAAATAATTATTTTTCAAATTATCGCCACTTTTTACTTTTCAAGACTGACTTGTTGGAGAATTTTTTTTTTGACGAGTTCTAGCTGATCTGATCGGAGTTCTGGGTAGCGCTACCTGAGTTCTATCGAAAAGTCTAGTAACTTTTTTCTGTAAAATAATTATTTTCCAAATTATCGCCATTTATTACTTTTCAAGACTGACTTGTAGGAGAATTTTTCTTTTGACGAGTTCTAGCCGATCTGATCGGAGTTCTGGGTAGCGCTACCTGAGTTCTATCGAAAAGTCTAGTAACTTTTTCAGGTGAAATAATTATTTTCCAAATTATCGCCATTTTTTACTTTTCAAGACTGACTTGTAGGAGAATTTTTTTTTTGACGAGTTCTAGCCGATCTGATCGGAGTTCTGGGTAGCGCTACCTGAGTTCTATCGAAAAGTCTAGTAACTTTTTTCTGTAAAATAATTATTTTCCAAATTATCGCCATTTATTACTTTTCAAGACTGACTTGTAGGAGAATTTTTCTTTTGACAAGTTCTAGCCGATCTGATCGGAGTTCTGGGTAGCGCTACCTGAGTTCTATCGAAAAGTCTAGTAACTTTTTCCTGTAAAATCATTATTTTCCAAATTATCGCCATATTTAACTTTTCAAGACTGACTTGTAGGATAATTTTTCTTTTGACGAGTTCTAGCCGATCTGATCGGAGTTCTTGGTAGCGCTACCTGAGTTCTATCGAAAAGTCTAATAACTTTTTCCTGTAAAATAATTATTTTCCAAATTATCGCAATATTCCAAATATCTTGAAAAGTTAAAAATGGCGATAATTTAGAAAATAATGATTTTACAGGAAAAAGTTATTAGACTTTTCGATAGAACTCAGGTAGCGCTACCCAGAACTCCGATCAGATCGACTAGAACTCGTTAAAAATAAATTCTCCTATAAGTCAGTCATGAAAAATTAAAAATGGCGATAATTTGGAAAATAATTATTTTACAGAAAAAAGTTACTAGACTTTTCGATAGAACTCAGGTAGCGCTACCCAGAACTACGATCAGATCGGGTAGAACTCATAAAAAAAAAATCCTATAAGTCAGTCTTGAAAAGTTAAAAATGGTGATAATTTGGAAAATAATTATTTTACAGAAAAAAGTTACTAGACTTTTCGATAGAACTCAGGTAGCGCTACCCAGAACTCCGATCAGATCGGCTAGAACTCGTCAAAAGAAAAACTCTCCTACAAGTCAGTCTTGAAAAGTAATAAATGGCCATAATTTGGAAAATAATTATTTTACAGAAAAAAGTTACTAGACTTTTCGATAGAACTCAGGTAGCGCTACCCAGAACTCCGATCAGATCAGCTAGAACTCGTCAAAAAAAAAATTCTCCTACAAGTCAGTCTTGAAAAGTAAAAAATGGCGATAATTTGGAAAATAATTATTTCACAGGAAAAAGTTACTAGACTTTTCGATAGAACTCAGGTAGCGCTACCCAGAACTCCGATCAGATCGGCTAGAACTCGTAAAAAAAAAGTCTATACTACTGACGCTGGTGTAGCTTTAATGAAACACATTTTTGACTGTTGGGAGAGGTCACAGGATGCTATCGGTGTATTCTGTGACCTCTCAAAAGCATTTGATTGCGTTGATCATGAAACACTCTTACTCAAATTAGAATATTACGGTATTAGATATGAAGCACTATGCATGATGAAATCCTATCTAAATAATAGAATGCAAGTTGTTGAAATAAATGGTGTAAAGTCTGAGGGAACTAGTATTAAAATGGGTGTTCCTCAGGGCTCTATTCTAGGTCCTTTCTTATTTTTAGTTTACATAAACGATCTTCCTTATATGGTAGAAAAGATAGCTGACATAGTTCTGTTTGCTGATGATACTTCATTAGTATTCAAAGTCAATCGACATATTGATGATATGGACGAAGTAAACGGTTCTCTCTCTTATGTTTTAAAATGGTTTACGGCAAATAATATGCTACTAAATGCAAATAAAACTAAATGTATCAAATTTACTCTCCCCAATGTAAGGCCGGTAGATTCAAAAATCGTATTGGACAATAAATCTATTAATTTTGTTGACGATACTGTATTTCTAGGTATCACATTAGATTCCAAGTTGCAATGGGGTGCTCATATTACTAAATTGGCGAGTCGACTTAGTTCTGCCGCTTACGCGGTAAGAAGAATTAGACAATTAACAGACGTGGCAACGGCTAAACTTGTCTATTTTAGCTATTTCCATAGCATTATGTCGTATGGTATTTTGTTATGGGGCAAAGCAGCTGATATAAATACAATATTTACTTTACAAAAGAGGGCCATTCGCTCCATTTATGGTATGGGTTCCAGGGAGTCATTGCGAGAGTGTTTTAAGGAATCAAATATCCTCACCGTTGCTTCTCAATACATTTATGAAAATATCATCTATGCCAGAAGGAATATAGACAGTTTCAAAAGAGTTAGTGATTGCACTAATAA